ACTGGGAGGACTGGAAAAAATGGAAAAACAGCAGCAACAGCAGAAAAATAGCAGGCAACAAACAGGAAGTGAGGAGGAATTATAATAAAATAGTTGAAAGCGTGTGAGGAGCCCAGCAGGCCTGATGCTGACACTGGCAGACAAAACTGCTAGGAATGCTGCGATGGACAGCACATGCTCGCAGCAGCGCACCGTGGTGAATGGATTCTGGGCCACCACAGGACCGCTGCAGCGCAGCAGCGGCAGGTGCCAAAAAAAAGCAAAAATGCTCATTTCTAGTACTTTGAGAGCTGCCCAGGCTTGTAGTTGTACGTAGGCTCTGCTGCACCACTGCCTGGTGCCGCCCGGGCTGTCACTGTGTCTTAACGTCCTTCTGTGAGAGCAGGCTGGCCCTGGGGAATAGAGAGGGTTTGCTTTCCGCGCTCCTTACGCCAGCAATCCATGTCTGCAACCAACGGGCAGCGAGGATCCTGCGTGAGAAATCGACCCACAGGAACCTACCAGCAGCAGCTGAGACCTGGAGCATCAATCTAGGGATGGGATGGGGAGGTCTTTCCTGATTTTTTCCAAGCAAAGCATTAGAAACGTGTCCTCCTTGAAAACACAGAAACAAAACATAAGGACTATAGGTCTGGAAACACTGGATTAGGCATGAGTTAAAAATCTGAGTACTAAAGAAAACAGGTAACAGTGAGTGTCCTAAATGGGTACAGAAAGCCCCGGAAATCATACAGCTTAGAAGACAGAGCAGATCTCGAAGGAACAAGGAAAGGGAAGGACCAACGCAGTGATAGCAGGTGGAATATGAAGATGGAAAGGATAGAGTTAGAGATGTGACAAACAACCCTATACGTGGGAAGAGACAGAAGAAATGACAGTAACAGAAAAAGGACATTACAGAGATCTAGAATGGGTAAGGACAGAAGTGAGGGAGAAGATTTAAAAGACCTAACCCCATCTCAGAAGTGTACATCAGAACATAAAACTGTGTTTTTAACCATTTTTTTTCCTGTCAGTTGAAAACTAATGAAACCCATGCAAGCAATTAGCTTTAGGTAGATCACAGGGCAACTGTAATATTCCTTTATGCCATCGTTCTGTCACGAGTGATGATACCTGATTTATGTGAAACATTTGCTGGAGAAATGCCATCAACATTAATAATGTTGTATCACCAGAAGAAAACAGCAGCTCCTGTGGCCTCCCTTCCGTTCTCCGTGCTAAGCTGTTCTCTTGCTGCGCAGAAGTTTTTTGAGCAATGTTGACTGGAATTCACAAACTGAATTTATTTTTGCCTTGAGTTCACAGCCAGTGGTTAGCTCTTTTTTCACTCTGTTTTCATCCCAATAAACACTGTCATTAATCCATGTTTCCTTCTCAGGAGCTTTTCTAATTAAGCTGTTCTAAATGTTGAGTTAATCAATGGAGTTAATTCTTTACATTTATACACAACGGGAAGTTTTCCATTGTAAAAATAGGTGGGGGTTATGGTCTAAGCATATTCTTCTTAAATGTCAGTTTGAGCTCAGTTCCATCAGTGTATCATGATAAGTGATACACACACAATCCCACTGGTGTGGCTCATTTGACTCTACAATATTAATTAACATTGGCAGGAATGAAAAATGTGACAGTTTCTCCACTTGTTTAAAAAAATACTGAAGAAGACTACAGCTAGATAAATACATCCTGGTTACTTTTTGATAGATACTGAACAAAGTTGAATTGTATTTTCATTTGTATTCTACTACATAATCCCCTCCCATCCCCTGCTGTAAAAGCACTACAACAAACAATTTTTCAAGCAGGTTCCTATTTTTCTAAAAGCCTCTCACATGCTCCAATAAACCATGAAACATAAAGGGGGGCAGTTATACCTTGAAGAGAACAGCCAGCCCGGCTGGTATTTTGTCTTTGTCACTCTGCTGGCGTGCCTGGGTTTCACTTTCCCTTTCCCCTGAGGTAGACAGCGCACACGCCATTACTAAAGGCAGTGACTGAGACGCCGGCCCCAAGAGCTGCGGTTCTTGGTTTGCTTGATGTGGGCATCACAACACACAGGAACGAGATGAAAATGCCCTTGCAGAGTAAACCTCAGTGAGCATTCCCAAGCTTGCAAAGATGAGAACGTGGCAAACTCATGAAAACTGGAGCATCAGAGAAGTCACAAGGTCCCAATGCCCTGGTTGTCGTAGGATTTTGGTCATGGAGCAAATGCTAAGAACGTACTGTACGACTGTGTTTCAGTTGTGGTTTGTATGGTATTTGCATACAATATCATTCTCTTAAACTTCTGCTGCATGAAATGTGTGCCCAAACATGTCTATGACAATTTTTTTTCTTTAAAAGCATTAAAGTCACCACTGAACACAAAAGAAAGTGACCCCATTAATTCAGACTTCCCTAAATTCACCTAGCTTTTCTCCTAATGAATATAAGATGTCATTACTTTGCTGTACTTTCGCATGGACTAAGTTCTCTTGCTGCATGAAACCCTTCCACTGCAATAAAAGTGCAGCCATTTATCTTCCCAGAAGGGGGTCAATCCTGTCTTCTACAAACCGAAACGGGGCCAAACAACTTCTCACACAAAACTTCAAAAATATTGCCATTCCTACACCAGTGTGCCAGAAGTCGTACATTAAAGAGTGATCTGTAGGAGCAATAGTAAACAGATTCTTTCCTCTAAAGCTAACTGAGCTTAACAACCAGCAAGAAAAATGCTCATGGGTACGTATGAAACTAGTTGGCATTTCTGTTTTGGCATGGCTTATGATGGAGTGAGTGTAGAAAGCGACCACTGTGGCACAGCACTTTTTTTGCCAAGTTGATAGTTATTGTTATACCTTTTTTCCCATCTATAGAGACACATGAATTAAAAAAAAAAAAAAAAAAAAAAAAGATTAACACATTGGAGAATAACAAAAAGTGAAGGCTTGATTCTGCTGCCATTGAATTGAAAAGCAAAATCTCATTTGATTCCAGTCCCAACAAAAAAAAAAAAAAAAAAAAAAAGCTTAGCTATGCCTTATGTATTCACGACATAGTTAACACCAGCCTTCATAAAGGCTATGCACAAAATTTATGCTTCGCTTCCCAAAACTCAGTCCTTGTTAGCTAACTACTCACAATGTATGAACTTAAAACATGAGAAAAGAATGCCATTTTCCTTTGGTCCCGACACTCATGAACATCCCATGCAGGTTTTTACTCAGACTTGGCTGAAGCATGCACTTTGTGTCCTTGCCTGGGTGCATCCTGCACAGGTGAGAAGGCGAAGCCCCAAGAACTCCTTCCCCCAGTCAAAAAACACACCAGGACAGAAGCATCAGTCCATGATTTGAGCAATAGATAGTGATGAAATAAACTCTTGGGGAGGGCTGAAACGGCATGAAAAATCTCAGCCCCAAACATTTAAAAATTAATTACATTAAGAAATACTGTAACTGGATTGCAATCATCACTGTTTTTTCTCCTCTTGAGCAGCCCACAGCGGCTGACGCTCCCCTGTGCCCGGAACCTCGTTACTGCCCAGTTACTAACACAAAAGACGTAGAAATTAAGAGTAATTTCAATAGTTTTGTTATTTCTTATGCTTTTTATGCGCTATTGCCAGCTACGAGCGTTTAAAATAAGGGATAAACAAACGAGCATGAAGCCTGATGGAGAAGCTGCACGATTTTCCCCACTCCCCTGCAAACTTCGGAAGGCCGGCAGCCGCACGCCCTGGCAGAGCGGGGGAGCTGAGCGGGGGCTCCCGGAGGAAACACGGCAAGGCGGGACACAGGGCCGGTCACACCGAGAAGGGCGACGAGGCCCGGCAGCGAGCGGGCCGCCGGGGCCGAGCTCGCTGCCGCCTCAACCGGGCGGCCGGCGCGGTGCATGATGGGACAGGTAGTTTCCTGCCCGCGCGGACTACATTTCCCGTGAGGCGGCGGGGGGAGAGCGCGCGCGGCGCCGGGCGCGTCAGCGGCGCGGGCAGCCAATGGGGGCGCGGCCCGAGCCAGCGCCGTCCGCCGCCAATGTTGTTTTCGCTGAGTCGAGGCGCCGGTGTTGTTGGCGGCGGCGCCATATTGGAAGGGACGATCCCCCCGTTAGCGAGAAGCCCCTTGGCGCTGGCCCGGCCGCCGCCATGCTGTATCTGGAGGACTATCTGGAGAGTGAGTGTGTGTGCGGGACGGGGGTGCCGGGCGGCCGGTGGAGGGGAGCCCGGGGGGCGG